TATATCTATCAGAGACTAGGTAAGAGGCAGCTAGTTTCAGAATAGTATAATATCTATCAGAGACTAGGTAAGAGCCAGCTAGTTTCAGACTAGTATAATATCTATCAGAGACTAGGTAAGAGTCAGCTAGTTTCAGACTAGTATAATATCTATCAGAGACTAGGTAAGAGTCAGCTAGTTTCAGACTAGTATAATATCTATCAGAGACTAGGTAAGAGTCAGCTAGTTTCAGACTAGTATAATATCTATCAGAGACTAGGTAAGAGTCAGCTAGTTTCAGACTAGTATAACATCTATCAGAGACTAGGTAAGAGTCAGCTAGTTTCAAACTAGTATAATATCTATCAGAGACTAGGTAAGAGTCAGCTAGTTTCAGACTAGTATAATATCTATCAGAGACTACGTAAGAGTCAGCCGGTTTCAGACTAGTATAATATCTATCAGAGACTAGGTAAGAGTCAGCTAGTTTCAGACTAGTATAATATCTATCAGAGACTACGTAAGAGTCAGCTAGTTTCAGACTAGTATAATATCTATCAAAGACTACGTAAGAGTCAGCCGGTTTCAGACTAGTATAACATCTATCAGAGACTAGGTAAGAGTCAGCTAGTTCCAAACTAGTATAATATCTATCAAAGACTAGGTAAGAGTCAGCTAGTTTCAGACTAGTATAATATCTATCAGAGACTAGGTAAGAGTCAGCTAGTTTCAGACTAGTATAATATCTATCAGAGACTAGGTAAGAGTCAGCTAGTTTCAGACTAGTATAATATCTATCAGAGACTACGTAAGAGTCAGCTGGTTTCAGACTAGTATAATATCTATCAGAGACTAGGTAAGAGTCAGCTAGTTTCAGACTAGTATAATATCTATCAGAGACTAGGTAAGAGTCAGCTAGTTTCAGACTAGTATAATATCTATCAGAGACTAGGTAAGAGTCAGCTAGTTTCAGACTAGTATAATATCTATCAGAGACTAGGTAAGAGTCAGCTAGTTTCAGACTAGTATAATATCTATCAGAGACTAGGTAAGAGTCAGCTAGTTTCAGACTAGTATAATATCTATCAGAGACTAGGTAAGAGTCAGCTAGTTTCAGACTAGTATAATATCTATCAGAGACTAGGTAAGAGTCAGCTAGTTTCAGACTAGTATAATATCTATCAGGCACTAGGTAAGAGTCAGCCAGTTTCAGACTAGTATAATATCTATCAGGGACTAGGTAAGAGTCAGCCAGTTTCAGACTAGTATAATATCTATCAGAGACTAGGTAAGAGTCAGCTAGTTTCAGACTAGTATAATATCTATCAGGGACTAGGTAAGAGTCAACCAGTTTCAGACTAATATAATATCTATCAGGGACTAGGTAAGAGTCAATAATTTTCAGACTAGTTTATTATCGTTATAGTTTCGGCATACAAGGACCACATCGAAATACAGACGACAAAAATTAATAAGAATAATAAAACTTTTCAACAGTTGCATATAGTCCTGTTGTTCCGGCCACTATTGCTGCTTTAGTTCCAGCTGCAAATCCCGCTGCACCAACAGATTGAAGAACAGCTACCGTGCTACCTGCGGCTACCGCACCACCGTTGGTTACAGCTGCCGTCGACATCATACCGGCCGCTACACTTCCAGCTGTTATTCCTGCACCAGTGAAACCAACAGCCCCTAGAACCAAGGGACCACCAACAATAACTGCACCACCAACGAGAGCACCGACTACTACGTCACCAAATGTAATACAGGTAACTGAAATGATTAAAGATAAGATTTATAATCAATCGATCCTGCTACAGTTAGACCAAACTTTCAGTTTTTTTTAATGAGCTTCTATTTTTAATAGCTACTACAATTAGGGTTCAATAACGACGGCCCTCTTAAACATTCGTCCCAATAACCTTGTGACGTATCTTGATGACCTCTTCTTTAACCAATCAAATTGGGATTTTAATATATTTTATTAAATATTTACCTGTATTTGTGTTCAGTAAAACTAAACAGAGTAAAATTCCTACCATATTTTGGCTGTTCATTTTCTAGCTGTCTGGAAAAAAAAAACACTTAATTAAGAGTATGTTATCTTGCCTGTCAAGCAGAATATTTGAAATAATACAAACTTCGACGAAAATCATAACTAAAGGTACATAACTACTGTTTTCAAGACTACAGACCACATTGTTAAAACTAATCTGTATTAGCAAAATCGGCTTCCACTCTCAATCATTTAACACTCGAAAGGCCTAAAGTGTTTATTTCATTTTTGCAATTGTCAATGTCTACGAAGTATAAATGACGTCTAAATTACCAACAGTAGCTTAATGAAGACCAAATCTATGAGTACTGTCCTGTAAGTACTGTTTTACTTTACATAGAGTGATCAAATTTGCTTAGTAGAGGCACTTACCCTGCCTAGTGCTACCGACTCTTCCAAACCTTCCGCTGGAAAGAGTCCATCCTACCAAGAGTCGTCCACCCCGCCTAGATTCATCCTATCCGCCTAAACGGTTAAAATCGTCCACGCTGCCAAAGTCACCATGTTACGGTTGTTGTGCCGATGGCTTTTGCAGTGCATTTCATTCTCTTATGCCTTACGTCCATGTTTACGTTTAGCGATACACTTCCGGTTTCGCTCTTAGAATAGAAAATTGGGTCATTTTTACTATTTATATTTTATGGACAAAATTCTACCTTTTAACTCCACGTTAATCTACTGACATGGGCGCTGCCATATTGTTTCGATGACGTAATAGGTCATAAAATATAGGAGGATTTCAGCTGACGTCACATCCGGGAGTTTCCCCATCTAAAAATAGGCTGGCCGTTAAGCGTCAATGACACGTGTGCTGTAACCGAGACAGAAAAAACTAATAAATCTGAAGTTTCATCTATTCTAGGATGATATGATTAATTAAAATTAATGGTGAATTTAATCTGTGTAGGAAAGAGCATGCTCGCCGATTTCGACGTAGGTAAGTAGCCTAGGCCTAGAGTTAGGCCTAGATTTGGCTGAAGATTAATTAGATAACAATTTTTTTTATATTTCATCTGGTACCAATCCTGAAAGTAACCTAAACACAAATCTAAATCATTTTACAACATATTTTGTCTGATTTTTAACGAAAGAAAACAAATTATTCAAATTCAAAGGGAATCGATTGAATATCCAA